CAGTGGTGAAAACCAACCAAAACCAACACAAAAGACAACAAAAGCAAGTGGTGGTGTGCCTATGTGGTACCTAGATGGTAGAACCTGTTTTTTTTTTGGGAGGGTTTCTGCGAGCTACAACACTCAAAGATGAGTGCTGAGGGTTGGGGGTGCTCCTGACGAAGAGGGAGCAAGAATGTGATAGAAAGCGATAGAGTAGACTGCTGTCAGCCTACAGAAGGATGGATGGTGACTTAATTCAATGTCCTAAGCTGTACTGAGCTCAGGGAGGGCTTGGAGCAAAGTATATGGATGATAGATGATAATAAGCAAAGTAGATGATAGCTAGACCCTTAATAAAGTCTCAACTATCAAAGCTGATGAATGATTTACTGAGAGATGATAAATTGCGAGCAAGAGGGGCTCTCTGATGTCTTTTTTTTTTCTACCTAAGTACAGTGACTTATATACAGTACAGGGGCATTGCCTATGGAAAACAAGGTGCAAACACTTGGTAAGTGATTGGTAACTGATGAGTAAGGAATGTAAGTGATGGGTAATCATCTTGGAAAGCATTGGTAAGCATTGGTAAGGATTAGCAAGCCAAAAAGCAAAGAATCAGTAAGCAAAGTCAAAAGATTGGTAAGTATTGGCAATAGGTGAGTCAAAGACAGTCAGAATGTCAAAGTATGAGTCAAGCAATGTCAGGAACTGGGAAAGTGCACTGGAATCGCATTAGGGGGAGGCTGTGCATGTCACATCTTGAAGAGATCGCTTCTAGGCCAAAGTGGGATAACAGAGAGGCAGTGCTGATCTGATGCCGATATAGTACATCCAAAAGTGGACAGGGTGAGTCAGATGTCAACAGGTGTCAAGCTTTGGGGGTCTGTGGGGTGACAGGAGCATAGGGGATCACAACTTTCCCCCCCAAACCATCCTCTCAGTGAAGCAAATAAAAACTTCATGAATGAGGCTCTGTTGGAAGAGAGGATGAAGGGGGAGCATCTTCTGCTGTATCTTGCAACAAGGAGGCAAGATGTGCATCATACTTGTCATGGATGCGATCAGGGAGAGTGGAGAACAGTAGATTATACTGTAGCTGTTGCAATTTTGGAAGAATGATGGACAAGACTGGTATGAAGATGTTGCAGGGGGCAGGGAGGAAGGATCCATATGCTTCTTGGACCGGAGAGACTGAAACGACCACATAAGACCTTTCCAAGTGAATGACAGACCTGAGGCGACCAAAGAATGTCCTCCTGGAGGTCATACTGACAAAAAGAACATGCTGTCCAAGCTGGATGGGCTGAGAGGGGGCAGATGAGGGTGGGATGTACCAGGATGCTTCAGGATGGAAGCTGGTAGGAACCCCTGGTAGATATATGTAGCCATGGTCCCTAGCAAAGGGGACAAGTGAAATGACTGATGTGGAGGCAGCCATATCAGAAGAATTAGTGAAATGAACGTCTTTTGGAGGGAGTGCTGTAGAAACGTGTGGAGTGCGCAAATCCTTTCCAATCTTGGAAGGTAGGATCATGTGGCTGAGCACTACAAGCGAGTGTGGGAATGGTTTCGGTGTCTGCAGAATTGGTGGAGATACGTCGAAAACCAGAATGCTGTACACAGGCGCTTAAGAATTTTATTGGCGCTTAACTTGCCTCCTCCTTTTTCTTTGGCACTGACAACCTGTTCTTGTGCGAGGGATGACTGCCGACATTGCTGGCTGTCCTTCTTCGCATGAGGGCTATGGTCTTCACCTCCATTCATCAGCTACATCCATGTCCACCTCACCAAACACCTTTGGTGTGTGACAGCAGCAGGCTAATTGGTGCCTGAACCTAATATATAACATAGGTTGTAATGCCCCCATGTTCAATTCAAACCAGAGTCCCAGAGGAAATACTGACAAATTAATTGTCACAGGTGTGTACTTAGTAACCAAACATACACAATGTTGACACATTCACACACTTGTTTCCCATCTCCACTCTCCACTCTCCACTCTCCACTCTCCACTCTCATTGTCAATCCTATGCCAGGGGAACACTTGGTGTGTCCCCTACCAAGCATCAGGGGCTTGGTGCCCTTGATGGCTCTCGAAGGCTCCAAGCCTTTGAGAGTTGTCTTGGTATGGATTGGCTGTCAGTCACATGGATGAGACTCCATCTCATGGAGGCACTACTTTGTATAGCACAACTCAGGGCATTGAAGACTGCCAGCTTTCCTCAGCTACCCTGGAGTCCATCTTTTACTTCCCAAATGAGACTCAGCTGTTCACATTACCCACTGGTGAGTTCAAGGCTTGCATCTCCCCTAGACATTAATCAAATTTTTCTTCACTTTCTCAAACTTCCTGATCAACACTACATTCTCTCTGTCATCTGTTAAGGTTGACATTTGTCCTTGGCTGCCCCCATCTCTGCCTTCTCCTTCTCAGACAAGACTCTGTTCACTTTGCCCATTGGTGAGTTCAAGGTTTGCATCTCCCTTCCTTGGCTGATTTCCAATTGTTTTTGTATAGGGATGCCAATTGGGTTTCTCTTGCTCACTTTCTTACTTTCCTGGTTAAGGCAGCATTCTCTCTGTCATCTATTAAGGCTGATGGTTTTCCATGGCTACCCCCAGCTCTGCCTTGTCCATCTCAGACAAGACTCCTTCACTTTTCCCACTGGTGAGTTCAAGGCTTGCATCTCCCCCTTCCTTCACTGATCTCCAATTGTCTTTGTATAGGGACACTAATCAGGTTTCTCTTGCTTTCTTTCTTACTTTCCTGGTTAACACAGCATTCTCTCTATTATCTATTAAGGCCAATGAGTTTGAGGCTTGCATCTCCCTTCCATTGCTGAGCTCCAACTGCCTTTGTGTGGAGATGCTAATCAGGTTTCTCTTCTTCGCTTTCTTACTTTCATGGTCAATGGTACATTCTCTTCAACATCTATTATGCCAGGGGAACATTTGGTGCATCCCCTACCAAGTTCCAGGGGCTTGGTGCCCTTAGCAGCTCTTAAAGGCTTGGAGCCTTTGAAAGTCATCTTGGTATGGATATACCCTAAACTCTACCTTTTTGTTTCCCAAGGATATTCCATTCATTTTACAAGCTGGTGAGTGTGAGGCTCACTTGTTTCCTCAGTTCCTGATCCCCAATTACTTCTGTGTAGGGATGCTAATTAAGTCTTCCTGTCCTTCCTAGTGTTGTCTCCACTTCTGTCCTAGTGAGCCATGAATGAGTAAGTGTTTAGCCTTTGCATCTATTCTGTTAGTTATATTCTTTACCTGGGGTGCACAATGATCCATTTAACAAGAGTGTAATTATGACATCTCTACAGACCATGCATGCAGGATTCACCAAGGTGGATCCTACATGTTATTCCATGGCTGCTAACAAATGGGGAAGAAGAACCTTCTGTTGGAGATCCACCTATCAACTTACAATATTGTCTGTGTTTCTCTCCCTCACCCTTCCAATCCTCATCTCACTATGTGCCAGCCACCCTCACTCAATAATGGGTGAAGCATAAGTGCCATCAACCTAAGTGCATGATTTTCTAACCACTGCCTGATAGCTAATGTTCAAGGGTTATGCAGGTGCTCTAATCACTATTTTTTTGCATCTCAAACTGAGTGCAGTCAATGCTGCAACCCTTGCTGACATCCTGCTTTTGAGATCCCAGCATGGAGGTGTTTAATTTTCCAAAATTTTTGTTCCTTGACAGTAATCATCTCCCATAGCACCATCATTTCCATTGAGTTCAGCTCCCTCAATGTTGTCATCCTGTCAGGAGGGCACCACTGCAGTCCCTTTCCTCCCCTTTTCCCCCATCAGACTGGAGGTCCCCACTCCCCCCATATCAATACATCTAACATCTGCTGACACCCCTGACTCTGCCACTGTTCTTATCCATGGACATCCAGACATGGAACCAAGGGATCTGTCCCTGGCAGACAAGTGTTGGCATACTTCAACCAGAGTATTTTTCATGGTGACCCTGTAAACATACCTGTTTTGTATAAAGCTTTGCTTTGTATTTTTAATTCTTAATTTGGCTCAAGTGTTACCAACAACATGACTACTAATGGATTTTCCACCTGGTGCAGGTAAGTGGAGATATTGCAAATACAAAGATTTCAAGATTGGGATCTGTTCATGGATGTGTTGTTACTGACCTCCATCTGTTCTTGCCCTGACCATTTGGCATGGTTGTCCACAAGAGTTGAGTGCTTGGTGCCCTTGGGGGTTTGGAGCCTTCGAAGGTGCTTGTCGATTGCATCTATGAGACCCTCAGGAACAGAGTCATGGCATCATCTGAGCCTTTCTGTTCACCATCATCACATGTGTATCATATTACTAAGTGGTATGTATTCCCTCTGTCTTGGTTGTTGCATCTTCCTTACTGTTCTCTTGCTGTTCTGGCATTTACCAATGTTTTGTTGTCAATTGCATGCATGAAACCCACACAAACAGAGCTCATCTTCCAAGGCTCTCCATTTACCACCATTGCACACATATCCCATTACCAAGTGGTATGTATCCCCTCTGTTTTGGGCCTTCAGGGGTTCCAGTCTCCACTGATTAGTGATGTATTTCCTCTGTTTTCATTATTACATCTTCCATTCTGCTCACTACCATTGCATGCATATGTTATTATGAAGTGGTACATACTCTTTCTGTATTGGTTGTTGTATATTCCTTATGGTTCATTCCACCTGGTATTTATCACAATATGGCATGACACCAATCTTCTTTTCTGATATTTTCCTTTTGTTCCACTCACTACTCATGTAATCACCACAAGCATCATTATTCCATCCCAACAACCTGCCATTTTACTGAATAACTCCATGGGTTTTTTTATGTCAGGTAAGGCATGACTTTACTTAAATACCTCATCTGACTGCTTTTCCCCTCCTCCCCCATTGTTCTTGACATGCCTTGCATGCCAGAAGGTGTTGACCAAGTCACAGATGACTCTATAGATTTGCACACCCAGGTTCTTTGAAACTGCAAAATCCCCACCACCAAGATGGCCCCTCCACCAGAGGTAAGTTATCTTGTCACTGTCGATCCCATCTGACCCCTGCCTTCACAGATCAAAAAAGAAAAGCCCAAGCCCCCATGTGGTGCAACCACCTGAAGGATGGGAAGAACACATGTTCAGTCTCCATGACAGGAGGAGATCACTCACTCCTAGTGTCTCTGTGTTCTCCCAAATTTCCACTACCCTGATCTTGCAGGAAGACCAGGTTGAGGGCACTCCAATGGAGGAGGATGCTGGTGAAGCTGAGGCCAAGGAGGTTGAGGTCAATGTTCAAGCTGATGAGGGCAGTCAACATCCTGATGATGGGACTAGTCAACTTCTGGACAATGAAGGTTCATTTTTTTTGAATATTTTTCTTGTTCTCTCACAGTTCTGTAGATGTTGCATTGTTCTATCCTTGACTCTGGGGTTTGGTGCCCCCTGCTTCTCTCATCTGACTGTGGGTTCAGTGCCCAATGGTCTAAAGCTAGGTGCTTTGGATCCTCATGAGAGTCACCAAGTGTCCTGTGTCATTTTCACATTTTTTTCTAGACACTTTGTTATCCTTTGATGTGTCTTTTGTCACACTTCAATGTATTCTCTTCTGATATTGATGTGCTCATAGTAGATGAGGATGGTTCTGAATCATCACTTCCTCCATCTTCACCACCAGCTGAAGACTCCAGTTCTGATGCCAAGGATGAGTTTCCCCCATGTTGTCCTGGTTGCTGTGTGGAACACAAACCTAAAATCAAGGGCAAAAGTAGGGCTATGGATGTTGACAACAGTGATATAGTGAGTCAGGATGATCATGAACCTGCCCAGAGCACAAAATTTAAGAAGACTGGGAACTTGTCCCATGCTGCTCTCAATGAGATATGTGACTTTGTGGCCAAAGTCAAGGCAAAAGCAGAAGAACTTGGACATTGACATGGCAAGTCTCCTTGTGACATCCTTGTTGCTGCTGGGCTCAGTGTCAAACCATCTCACATGAAGCTCAACAAGGCCAATCTCTTCTGCTTGTGGTATTGGGCCACCCAACTGAAACCTGATGGTGGTATGCATGCCCTTGTCACAGATTTTCTTTTATAACATTCTTCCCAGCCAACTGAAACATGGTCAACAATATCATTACAGCAGAGTACAACCAACTCATGAAAGATATCCCCAAAGATGACACCACAGCAAGAAAGGAGAAGTTGAAGGCTGTTTATGAATGGAGAAAGAGCTCCTCAGCAGTGCCCACTAACAAATCAGTCAAGTCCATTGCAGTCAGAGTCCACAATGTGAAGACACAGTTCTCTGGATTGGTAAGTGGTTGTAAGTGGGTGGATGGGGGGCAGATCTTACTGTTGAGCAGGCTGAGGTGTGGTCAGCTCTTGAAGACATCAAAATTGCTGGAGTTGTGATGTATGTTGGACAAGACCCTGCAGGATGCCAGACCTCTGGCATGTTTGGTGGTTCCAATATCATACAAAAGTACATCAATGAGTGTGCCATTGATGTTCAGGGACTTATGGACAAGTACACCTCAATATTTAAGTAAGTGATGTTACAGATATCTTACTTGGACTCATTGCAATTAGGTGTCTCAGGGATGGTAATGGTACTGAAGCTGGGTTATTAGGGATGAATGCTTCTCCCAGTTCAGCTGTGGCATTGGAGTTGTGTTGCTGAATGAAGGAGACACCAAGAGATTGCAACTGCCAGGTATTTGGATCTATGATGAAGGAGAAGTTGATAACAGTGCTCAAAGATCTACACATTACATATTTCTAATATTCCAAATACTCTCTTCTAATTGTCTTCCCATAAGTGACACATGGGGTCAAAGTTGGTGATCCCCAGAAAATCATTTGGCAGCAGCTTCTTGAGTTTGTTAGAAGGAACTCTCTTGTCATAATCAACTGGCCACTTGGGGTGCCTCCACTGAGCCCTGGTTTTGAGTACAAGAAACTCAAAGCTGATGCTCTCCACCAACTTGTGGTACCTTATCTGCAGAGAAAGCTAGGCTCAATGTATGATGGACAATCTGATGATGATGATGACAAGAAAAATGATTTTCTGGATGGTGTGCTGGAGGTTGAAATCAAACCCTGGAATGAAGGTATTGTGTACATTTTTTGTCTAACTGATTGCTGACCATTTTTGCAGATATCATCAGCATAGGGGATGCACACCCATTAAAGGGAGAGATTGCACTGGTCAAGGCTCCTGATGGCACAGTTTTGTGCAAGGTGTCTGACGATCCTGAGTGGCAGAAGTCTCACAAAGAAGGGAATCCAGGTATGGTGGCACCTCATGCACAGAGCAGAATCCCATTTCCATCATGCAAGTGGCCTCATGTGGAGGTGACAGATAATGACACAGTTCCTTGTGAAGTGAGTCAATCCACTCAACCTTTGGTGTCTACTAATGTTCCCAAAGGCTTCACACTCTGACCACCAAATGCCCCTGCATGATGAAGGGAGGGATGCACACCCCATCACTGGCAACCATGGTGTAGTGGTTTACCCCACTGCATTTTGGTTGAAACTGACAGGTGACATGCACAGGATGCACTTTGTGACCCACCAGCACACACAAGCCATGAGAACACTTGAGAGTCCAGTCAATCTGAAAGCCCCTTGCTGGCTCAGCACTATGGGGTGAGGTCTGGACATACCAGTTGATGAAAAGACTAATGGAGGACTGTACAGGATCTGCATCATGATGCTGTCCCAAGCTATTCACACCCATGGGACCCTGGCTCTTCTCAGCAGTTTCCACCATCTTGGCATTATGAGGTGAGTATCCCAGGCATTCTGCTTCTTGAAGGAGACCAATAGGATGTCCCACAGGACCCTCATTATGACCATGCCAACTATCATGATCCTGGCCCCTCCAATGTTCCCTACAATGTTCATGATTTGATCCTTCATTGTCACATTTTGTTTAGCTTCTCTATAGGTATTACTGCCCACCCACCATGGTTCAGGGTGTTTCCCTCTGTCCCATCAGATATATCACATACTGTTATGTTTCACCCCTGTTTTCCCTTTCTCTCTTCATGACTACCTTGTGTTTGATCCAATGGACTACTTTTCCTTTTTGAGCTGCCTTCTCATTGATCTGATGGCTCTCTATTTCCACCACTAGTGTTATCTGCTCATTGCATGCCTAAGACATGTGTCATCATTGTTCAGCCAATGGCATAGTTACCTCGATACATGCAGATGCCTCATGGTCCATTCTTTGTACAGTATTTAGTCTGTTGGCTTAAGTCCTGGAAACCCAGACTTGAGCTGCTCAATCATATGCAGCATTCTCTCAGAACTTCACCCTCAGTGTCCCTAACCTGGACCACTCTTACCAGTGTTGTCTAAATCCTCTGTCATTTACAGAGGTTACTGCAGCCATTGCTCAGTAGAAACAAATAGACTGCATTTGAGCTCTCCCTACATCTTGACTTCAGTTGAGGATAACAAAAGCTCAAGTCTACCAGCCTTTGGCAAAATCAGTCACTGCTTAGTGCACCACCACAAACCCCTGAAACAATTGATGTTGGGCACCATTTCAACCCACTTGTGAAGAATCATCATCTGATGAAGAACAGGAGAGCACTGTCACTGACACCTCCAATGAACCCAAACAACTGGATAGAGGATTCACTTCTGGTATCCTCTCAAATCTCTTTACTGAGTCCCTTGCCATGCTTGGTACTCCCATCCCACTAGTACCCATGACCACTTTTCCTACACCCCCACCTCTACCACAGACTATGATGTCCTGTTCATCATCAAAGGCAACAGTCAGTGCTGTCACCACCAAAGCCACTGAACTGAAGATTGGTGCCCCATCTGACTTTGATGGCAACCAAAAGAATGCCATGAGTTGGTTGTACTCTGTACAAACCCACCTTTTGGTAAACAAAGAAATTTACAACAATGACACCAAAAAGGTTGTCTATGCCTTGTTGTATATGAAGAAAGGAGTTGCTCATTCCTGGGCAGCTACCTTCCAGAAAACCTCTCTGGAAAAGAACCCCCTGAGTTTCAGCACCTTTGCTGATTTTATGAAAGACTTCAAAAGTTCTTTCACATCCTCCAACACTGCTGGTGCTGCAATTACCAAGCTACACACCATGAAACAGAAAGAATCAGTGGAGCAGTACATCACTGATTTCTGAACTGCTGCTGCTGACTCAACCATCACAGAAGATGTTGCATTGATCAAGTTCTTCTTGCAAGGACTCAAACCTTTCATCACAAACTGAATCCATATGATGGAAACCACTCTGACCAAGATTACTGAGTGGTACACACAAGACCAGAAGTTTGATGTGAAGTGGAGGAAGGTGAATGAACTTTCTGGAAAGAAAGAAAAGAGGACATTCTACCCCAAGAACAACCTTGCCAAAGAAAAAGATCCTAACACTATGGACATGGATGGAGTGAGACTCTCCAAAGAAGAAAGAGACTGCCACATCAAGGAAGGAAGATGTTTCAGATGTGGCAACAAAGGACATCTCTCTCAAGAATGTCCTGACAAGGGGAAAACTCCCCAGAAAAAAGTGAAGAAAATCCACAAAGTCACAGAGATCAAAGAAAGCAATGATGAAGAAAAAGTTGCTGGTCCATCCATTGCTCTCATAAACATTGCTAGAGCACTTGGGAAGGATTTTTAGAAGGGAACTCTGCATTGATGCCAGACATTCCTAAAACTAAGGACAGTTCTATTTCTGTTGTGCCTGTACTAGTATCTTCTACCCCAGATCATACTATGCAAATTCCCATCACCCTTTACACATCAGAAAGAACTGAAAAAGTTGTCAAAACCACTGCACTGGTCGACTCCAGTGCAGAAATTTCTTGTATCAACTGGGGATTTGTTCAAAAGCATCAAATCCCTACTCAATGACTCACTGAACCCATCCTTGCTAAAAACATGGATGGAACCCCAAACTCCAAAGGAAAAATCCTGTTCTCCACTACTCTCTATTTCAAGGTTGAAGGGATCGTCCATCAAACCTTCTTCCATGTCATTAATTGTGGGATGGAAAATGTCATCCTAGGCCTCCCTTGGCTTCAAGAAAATAACCCTGTCATTGATTGGAGAATGGGAACCCTCTCCATCAATGAAAAGACCAATAGGTCTAAAGAATTGAAGCACAATGTCTCTTCTGTTGCAGTCAAAGAACCTGTTGTGAACCTTGTATCCCCCATTGAAAAGAAGGGGATAAACAGGTTTATGGATTATGAAGAACCAGAGGATGAAACCATCCATGCACATTTCATGATGTTGGTTGGAAAACTCATAGAAGAAGCAAAGAAGATTAATCCAAACAATAGTCTTCTTCGAAAAATCACTACAGCCACCAAGTTGGCCCAAGAAGAACACAAGAAAAAACCAAAAGCTGTCCTCCCTGAAGACTATAAGGAGTTTGCTTCAGTTTTCAAGAAACCCTCTGATGGAGTTCTCCCTCTGTCACAGCCTTATGATCATTCCATTAACCTTGTTGAGGACTTCATCCCCAAGGTGGCTAAAGTGTACCCACTCTCTCCTTCGGAAAGAGAGTCTGCAGAAAAGTTCATCAAGGAAAACCTTTGAGAGGGAAAGATCTGCCACTTGAAGTCTCTCCAAGCAGCACCCTTCTTCTTTGTAGGAAAGAAAGATGGTTCCCTTTGCCCTTGCCAAGACTACTGATATCTGAACAAGAATACTGTGAAGGATGCCTACCCCCTTCCCCCCATTTCAGATCTCATTGATAAACTCAAGGGAGCATCTATCTTCACAAAGATGGATGAGCAATCAGGCTATAACAATGTCTGCATCAAAGAGGGTGACCAATGGAAAGCTGCATTCATCATGTACAAAGGACTCTTTGAACCAACTGTCATGTTCTTTGGGTTGTGCAATTCCCCTGCCACCTTCCAGTGTTTCATGAATGACTCTTTCCAAGACATGATTGCTGAAGGATGGTTGGTCATTTATATGGATGATCTCCTCATCTTCTCCACTGACCCTGAAGAACATAAATGCAGACCTTGTTGAGTTCTTGAACAAATGAGGGAGTTATCACTCCCTCTCAAATTAGAAAAGTGTCATTTTGATCTGCCCAAGGTTGAGTACCTGGGGATGATCATCAAAGAAAACACTGTCACCATGGACCCTGTCAAGGTCCAAGGCATCACTGAATGGCCTGTCCCAAAGAAGGTCAAGGACATGTGATCCTTTCTTGGATTTGCAAACTTCTACAGGAGATTTGTCCCATACTATTCAGACATTGCCTGACCCCTGATTGACCTCACCAAGAAAATGATTGCTTGGGAATGGTCAAAGAAATGCCAGACTGCCTTTGACCTCCTAAAATGAGTCTTCATGGCACAACTGACCCTCCAAATGCCTGATACCTCTCAGCTGTTCGCAATAACCACCAATGCATCCAAGTATGCAACAGGAGGCATTCTCCTTCAGGAAAACTCAAATGGCCAGTGGCAACCCTGTACCTTTATCTCCCAGTCATTTAACCCTGCCGAACAAAACTATGACATCTATGATAGAGAACTACTAGGGGTTATTTGCAGATTGAAGTCCTGGAGACACTATCTCCATGGATCACTGTTCCCAGTCAAGGTGTTCACTGACCATAAAAACTTGACTTATTTCAAAGCACTGCAAAACTTGAATCATCACCAGGCATGCTGGCTACTTGATCTTGCAGACTTTGATCTACAACTAGAACATGTCCCAGGCAAAGACCTGGCTGCTCCTGATGCACTCTCTCACTGACCTGATCACAGTCCTGATGATGATGATCCTCCTCTATGAAAGACCTGTGGTCCAGATGGCACTTCATGCTATAGAAAATGTTGACATGCCACTTCTGTTCAAATCCCATCTCTCTGATTGGAGATTTGATGATGGGGTGTTACTTTATAAGGACAGGGTTAACATCCCTGACAACCCCTCCCTTCATTGAACTGTTGTATCCAACCACCATGATCACCCCTCTGCTGAACACCCTGGTGTCCTGAAAACCCAACAGCTTGTCTTGTCTGAGTTCTGGTGGCCTGGACTTGCCTCCTTTGTCTGAAAATATGTTGAAGGCTGTGCTACTTGCCAGCAAAATAAGGTTAACACCCACCCAACAACACCACCCCTTACACCTATCCCCTCAACCTCAACCCATCCCTTCCAACAGGTCTCTTGCAATCTGGTCACAGATCTTCCCCTTTCTAAGGGTTATGACTCTCTTTTGGTCATGGTAGACCATGGGCTTATGACAGGGGTAATCTTAGCACCCACAAAGAAAACTGCCTCTGCTGCTGATGTTGCAACCCTCTTCTTCAAGAAGGTCCACTCTCATTTCAGATTGTAGGACAAAATTATATCCAATAGAGGACCCCAGTTCACCTCTGCCTTTGCAAAAGAACTTGCTTCTCTTCTTGGATACTCCCTCACCCTGTCAATGGTGTATCACCCTCAGACTGATGGGGAAACTGAACATGTTGACCAGGAGGTTGAGACATACCTCTGAATCTTCTGCCAGAATGATCCCACCTCATGGGTGGATAACCTCCCCATGGCAGAATTTGCACATAACCACCATCCTCATTCCATCACCCATCAGTCTCCATTTTACCTCATGTACAGGTATGAACCAAAACCCCTTCTGACTCTTGTCATGGAAACCCACCTTCCCACTGCCAAGTCCAGACTCGAAGAACTCCAAAAAGCTAGAGAAGAAGCCCTAGTGGCACATGATCTAGCCAGAAAGATGATGAAAGACTGCTCATCATGACCCTTCTCCCCATTCCAAAAAAGGAGATAAGGTTTGGCTCAAAGCACAGAACTTAAAATGTTCCTATGAAAACAGAAAAATTGCCCCAAAATGAGAAAGACCCTTTGCTATCTCTGAAGTCCTATCTCTGATTACCTACTGCCTCACGATCCCTGCACAATGAAAGATTCATAACATCTTCCATGCTTCCCTTCTATCACCCTATCATGAAAACAATGTCCATGGACCAAACTTCCCAGCTCCACCACCTGATCTGGTTAATGAGGAAGAAGAATACAAAGTGGAGGCAACAGTTGGCCATAAAAGGTCCAGCCATGGACATGCCTTTTTAATCAAATGGAAGGGTTATCCTTCATCTGAAAACTTGTGGCAAAAAGAGGCACACCTTGAACATGCAGATGAAATGCTTTCTGCTTATAAGAAATGTTTCCCTAAAGACTTCCCTCCTCAGAAACAGTCCACTCGACATCCCACTCACACTGTCAAAAGAATTTCCATTGAAATACCACCCTGTCATTATACCTATCCCCATGAACCTTCTCACCACCACACCCCTTTCACTCAATGTCAGTGACAGCCTGCTAGTGATCAGATGATTGCTTCCTACCAACTTTTCATCACTGATCCTGCCATCATTGGCACCATCTATCACAAAGTTGATGAGAACTCTCCTCTCAACCTCATCTATCATGCCACCATCCAAGCCCTTCAGCTTGAAGAATTGTCCAGATATGTCAATTGACAGAATCCTCTCCTGTCCCCTACCCATACCATCCTCAATGAAATAGCTTATAAGCAAGTTCCCCTGCTTCTCTGACTCTTTGATATCCTAGGTGGAGCCAACCTCATTTACAACATCCATCAATATCCAACATTGATTGCTCCCCCTCCTCCTGGGTCTAGAAGACCTTTGACTGCAACCTCTCCTCCTGTTTCCTCCATGTCATCCTCTCCTCCAGTGTCATCACCATTGTCCTCCAACTCCTCCCATTTGTCTTGCTCTCTCAGAAGAGCCAATCAGCCTCATGCCTGCTGTTTATCAGGTGCTAACCCACAACCTTGCAAGTCCCATGACTCCCCATCAGAAATCGACCCTGAGACTGCCTTTGGCATCTCAAGAGCTGAACTCGACTATACTCTAAATGTTGTTGAGACTCTCACACAACTACCCCCATCCCCTGTCCTGAATGTGGTCACTGAGGCTAATCATCCTCTCACCCCTTCTGATCCATGATACCATTAGGCATGCTATGTCTTTCATCATCTCAGGCACATCCATGTCAATTGTGGACTCTATGAGTGCCCCTTTGTCACACAACTCACCCAGGCATACTCAGGCTCAATGCCCATCTCCACACCCTCATCACACATTACAAGAAAGAATTGCCACCCCAGGTGTGGTAGATGATTGTACCCTTGTCAGGAGTGAGGATAATGACTTGTATGACAATGACTTTGATTTCAACAACTCTGCCATCAGCAACATGACTGGAGAGCCTTATGGAGGGTAGTTGAAGTTGGAGACTTCAACACTTAGAAGGGGGGTAAGGTTACATTTCACCCCTGTTTTCCCTTTTTCTCTTCATGACTACCTTGTGTTTGATCCAATGGACTACTTTTCCTTTTTGAGCTGCCTTCTCATTGATCTGATGGCTCTCTATTTCCACCACTAGTGTTATCTGCTCATTGCATGCCTAAGACATGTGTCATCATTGTTCAGCCAATGGTGTAGATACCTCAAAACATGCAGATGCCTCATGGTCCATTCTTTGTACAGTATTTAGTCTGTTGGCTCAAGTCCTGGAAACCCAGACTTGAGCTGCTCAATCATATGCAGCATTCTCTCAGAACTTCACCCTCAGTGTCCCTAACCTGGACCACTCTTACTGGCATTGTCCAAATCCTCTGTCATTTACAGAGGTTACTGCAGGCATTGCTCAGTAGAAACCAATAGACTGTGCTTGAGCTCTCCCTACATCTTGACTTTGGTCAAGTGTAACACATACCATCTCTCCCTGACCATCATATATGCCATGATGCTCCATATATCTCTGACTACTACCCTGCAGCCCAGCCCACAGCACAGCAATGGGTTGACAGAGGTAGTGCTGCACAGTATGAGGACGAATTTCCTGAGGATTACTTAGATTATTAGTCTCCTCAGTATTTTCTTTAGAAATACATGTTTGTTTTTCCATGATAGGGTGAGCAATGAATGAATGAAATCTCTCAGTTCTCCATCATTTTCAATGCAAGAGCATTTGTGTCTGCTTGACTGTTATTTTGTTACCTCCTGTGGCCACACTGCCATATTGCTGCTCACTTGATCTACCAATGAATTTTCTACTGATCACCATTCTATAGGGAAGATGCATCTACTCAAAATACTGTACTCTTGTTTGAAGAGTTTGAGCTGCAGAGAGCTGGGTCAAAGGACATTTGTGGTGAAGCTTGGAGGCCACACCCACAGATAAAGGAGCCTCCAGCAATGGGGAGGGGATATGGTGACATTAAGCAAGTGTTGATGTGGTGATCACTGAGTGGCAACTCTCCTAGTGTCACTGTGTCCAATGGCCAGTGGCTCTGGTGAATTCTGCTGCCTGGTTTCCTGTGTACTTTATCTATATTTTATTACTGTGATCAAGTAAGTGTTTTTCCCTGGTGAGTTGAGGGAACTGAGTGAAATTCAAATGGAATTGACATGATTATCTTGATGTTGCCCAAGTCCCTTTAATCTGAAGTACTGCTAACCTTGCCTCAACACCACTTTCAATCCTTGCTTTCCAACCTTCCCACCCCCCTCACCAGGTGGAAAAACCCTACCTGTCAAACTTGAAGGAAATTGAGTTTTGAGTGTTTTTATTCCCCTCAAAATTCAGGCCATCTACCCATTATTTCAGGGCAACATCTTATGCTTACTAATCAGGGGTTATTATCATCATCAAGATACTACAGTCCTATGTCACATGCAAGCACTGTAGAGCTGCAGAGGCTGACTTCTGGATTTATTTTGGTCTTGTCTGGGTTCTCTCATTAACTTTGCCCCATAAACATTGTTCAATGCTTTTTCTAAGAGCCTATTTTTATGTTGAAAATTAATCTACCTGCATTTCTACTAAAACAGGTCTATCTTTTATCAGACCCACCATGCTGTTACCATTTGCAGCTGCACAATTTTCCCCCATTTAATCTGTGACATTGGCCCTTCACTGTGCTCTGTGAGTTAGTATGAAAAGTAGATAATATTACCTGTGCAATATGTCAATACAGACCTGCATGGTGGATCTGGTTGTCTTGAAGCTGCCACAAAATTGATTTGAGTGCATTTTGGTATTCTGACATATGTATAGTACATGGACATCCTACTGGCCTCTATGGAGAGGGGTGGAATGTCACATAGTAGCCTCCAAAGCTATCATGGGACATCCCACTATCTATAGAATGGGGGGTTGGATGTCCCACAGTAGCCTCCAAAGCTATCATGGAACATCCCACTGACCTCTGGAATGAGGATTGGGATGTTTCATAGTAGCTTCAGAAGCTATCATGGGACATACCACTGGCCTCCAGAGAAGGGGGTGGCATGTCCCATGGTAGCATCTGATGCTCTCATGGGACATCTCACTGACCTCCACAGAGGGGGTTGGGACATCCCAAAGTAGCCTCCAAGGCTATCATGGGACCTCCCAGTGGCCTCCAAAAATGGGGGGTGGGATGTCCCATCATTGCCTCTTGGTTTTTCTACATAGATGACCTTAATGAACATGTGACTAAAGGTGGGATTGAACCAGCATTCTCCTGGGTGTTGACCTTGTGGTTTGATCACCGAGCTATATGGTTTGAGTACTAATGTCAGTTGCTTTGGGGTTAGATCAGAACTTTGGGAATAATTATCCATGAAGAGTAATACACAGAATGCACCATCTCCAACAGACTTGAGTGGTCTTTGGCAACACAAGTCCACCCTTCCTTTGAGAATCAACAAAGTTCAGTTTTCTGCCCATCCTGGCTGGATAGGTACTTGAAGCACATGATGGTCCACTGGAGGGCCTTACAGCCCAGGGTCATAATGGGACAGTGGGGTTCTCACATGCTTGTGCCCCACAATTGTGTCATGTATTGTGCTACAATCTATTCCTTGGCTGGGAAGGTCTTCCACTCATCCTCATTCAATGCATTTAGTATGATCTTACTAATGTGTGCTCCTTCTATAAGCAATGGAACTTACTTATAGGATAGTGCTGAATCTGTTAAAATTTATACAATGATGCAAGGCTCACTTCCAGAAGTATTGTATGATTCTGGAGATGACACCTCACAATTGCACTGATTTCCCACCTCAAATCTGTGCATAATAAGTGTACCAAACAGTTTCAGAAAATCAGCAGCTGCCACATACATAGGCCCCTACTTTTCCAGGTATTTTCATCATCCTGGATGATTGTGATAGCTATGGTTTCTTCATCAGAGGTGGGAATTCAGTGTGAATATGAGCTGCACTTTTGCAGTTGAGGACCCCTGACACCTAAGGCAGCCATGGGACAGCCCAAAATATATTACCAGGGGGCTGGGATTATGGGACATCCCAGGTCCTGCACACTGAAAATAGCCCTGGGACATGGCCAGATGTCCCTGGGATGACCTGGTCTGAGTGGCTTTTAGCCTGGATGATTTGTAGAAAAACTTCAGCCTAAATGTTTATGAAAATTGGTTACCTGAAGTGTATATTGAAGGGCCTGTCTTTATGTTGTGACAGGTACATCTTACTATGGATGGGCCCACCCATGTGTTGTGATGGTATAAATGATATTACAGAAGGGCCCATCCATATGTTGTGATGCTATAAATGATATTACTGATGGGCCTGTCTTTATGTTGTGACAGAGGTTGTGCTCTGAGCACCATTACAGCATTCACTAGATCTTGCTTGGATCTGAACTGTAGATGACTGGGGAAGGATTATTTGGTCATATGTGACCAAAGGCAATATTCAGGGCCAGATGAAAGCACAGGATTCTGCTCCATGGCAGTTCAGTAGCATATCCTTCTGATGACACCCAGGGGTAAAGAGGATTTTGTCTTGCCCTAACATCCATACCACTGTCCCTGTGTCAGAAATGCATTGGTTGAGAGGGGGCTAGTTTGTCCACCATGTGCTGAAGTTCCAGATTGACCTCCATAACATTTTCAGCCTTCCAAGCACTGATTAGTCCCAGAACATATCAGGCATGGGGGGAAACAGTCCAGGGAATGACTGACAGCAGGTTTTTTAAGGGACTGATGGTTCTGAGAGCATGTTATACTGATGGAACTGTGGTGGCCACCAGTATTTGATTAGAATTCCTTCAGAAAATGACCATGTGAGTTAGTGAGATGGTTTCATCAGTTGTGGTAAAAGGAGGGTTAATGGTACAAGTCCAATGATTGTCATTGTTTACATGCTGACAAATCATCTGGAAGATCATGTGGTCTATTATGTAATCATATTTTCCCATCCCTCATGCCCTCAATCCCATCAAAAGGTCAATTTTCACTATTTCACCAGTCAGGGACAAAAGCATTGCAATGCACTTTTCAGACAGAATAGGGTGTATCTTGGCATGTATTGCTTTGTTTGGACTGACCCCTAGTGCTCTGGAATGCTTAGAGTCACCCCTTTCCAATGGTATAGGTATCATCATTATCTGTGCAGAATAGCCTGAGCTACATCAGCAGCAAGTCACACCTCACAAACATTGCAATAGTTTTGTCCTTCACTGTATGCTGCTGCTGCCTGCATCTATGGGTCATCTCTTCTTTTCTCTCTTTTTCTCTCTCTCTCTGCAAATTGCCCTGTATCAGTGTATGTGCTAGATTGCTTAATCCCACATGCCTGTCCATGTTCTATTGCAGTTGTAAACTTTTTTTGAACATGCCATAGTGTGTGTCAATGCCTGATAAAGGTGTCAAGCTGCTGTCTTGTTGTGTCCCCTCCATCCTTGTGCCCTTGACCACCCATAGTTGAGGGAATAACCCCTCTGCCCACAACACCATTGTTGTCCCTGCTGCCTTCATCTTTGTCTCTGTTGTCTCTGTCACCTGCCACTCAGTCACCTACACCACTGCCTGTGGCTCTTCCTAGCACCAACCTGTCTCCATCCACCTCTCCTCCACATGTTCCCCAGCCTGTGTCTTCCCTGCATACTCAACCAGTATCTCCAGCCTCCTCAGATAGTTCATCATCATCAGACAGCTCTGCTATAGTCTTCCCTGCCATTACAATGTCTTCAACACAACCTCAGACAGTGTGGTGTGAAAATACCAATCCTGGTAAAACCCCTCCCTTCTTGACAGTGGGTGATATTACTCTGGAAGGGTTGCAGAGCTGGGAGTTGGGGTGCAAGAATTACTTTTGACTGAAGAGCATGGGAGAGGATGCCCAGGTTACCAAGGTTGTTGGCCACCTTCTAGACCCCTGCATCCAAGACTGGATTAGTAACAATGGTAGTTGTCTGACTACTCTCTCCTTTGCAGAGTTTACAGAGGAGGTCCATATTTATTTGCTTCCTAGCAACTGGGCAGAAGCTACCCAGCAAAAAATGTTGTCATTGACACAGGGTAGCAAGGCCTTCCATTTGTAGGCTGTCAAGGTGGAGAGTTTGAATGTCCTGCTGTGAGGAAGCAAGTTTCTCCTTACTGAAGATCATCTCCACTTCCACTTGGAATCCCACATGCATCCAGACCTCACTGCAGAGTACTGCTTGATGGGTACCTGTTGTGAGAAGTGGTTCTGTGCCTAGCTTGATTTGGTCTGCCTCCTTGATGAGAAATGTATCCATGATCAGCTCTTTGCAAGAAGCCTTTCCAGCCTAGCTGTGCAACCAATGCTACCACATCAAACTTGAAGGCACCCAGCTTCCTGCTCTAACCATTGAGGAGTGTCAGCTTCCCCAGGACAATTCAGGTTGTTTCAAGTGTCATCACCTCTTCCAGAATCATACCTGCATAACTGCCCAAATAATTTCCCAGACACAAAGAATTACAAAGCCTTGACTGCTGCTGATGTTGAAGCTGCCTGTAAGAAATGTGCCAAGCCCATCAATGCAGTTGTTGAAGATGAGCTGGCTTTGAAGCACTCTTGCATCACTGAAGAAGAGGATATGGATTCCATTGTAGTTGTAATGCCCTCTGCACTGTCAGAACAGAGAGAAGATGGCCACAAAAGGAAAGTAAGTCCAATGGAAAGAAAATGAAGTATACAGCAAGTGAAAATAGGGGTGAAATGTAACAGGTTCCCTGGTCATGTTAGTGATGGTGGAGTTGTTGAAGTCATAGTTATTATCATACTCATTGTTGTCCTCACTTCTGATGAGGGTATGATCATCTACCAGCCCAGGGGGTAGAGATTCTTTCATTCAAAGGGCAGCAAGGGTGTATGGAAGGGCATTGGGCTTGCACATGCCCAGGGCAAGTGGTGTGGCAAAGGGGGCATTTGTAAAGGTTGCAGTTTACTCAGAAATGTCTGAGGTGGTGATAAACATAGCACACTAGATGATAGCATGGGTCAGAGGGGGTCAGGGGTTTGTAGCTTGGCATCCACTTTGAGTAGGAGAAGGGGGTAGATCCTAGGTGAAGTAGGCAATTGCCTTAACATGGTTTATGGTAATGGCTAACTTGTTGGCAGAAACACCAAACATGGCAACAGGGTCAACCACAGAAGAGGATGAAGGTGAGCCATGAGACTTGCAGGGGCAAGGGTTGGAGCCTGAAAGACAACAGGCATAAGGTCTATCTGCTCTATGAAGAGAGCTGGAGGGGATGATGACATGGAGGAGAAGGGGAGAGAAGTTGTGGTCAAGGGTCTTCAAGGCTTGGGAGGGGGAGGAGCAATTAAAGTAGGATGCTGCCTGACATTGTAGGTGTGGTCAGTGCCTCCAAGGATATCAAACAGACAAAGGAGCAGGGGAACCTGCTCACAGGTGATTTGATTCAATATGGTTCTGGTAGGGGACAGAAGAGGGTTCTGTTGGTTAACATAGTGGGAAAGTTCCTCTGAGCAGAGGGCTTGGATGGATGCATGGTATACAAGGTTGAGAGGGGAGTCCTTGTCAACTTCATGGTAGATGGTACTGACAACAGCAGGGTCAGAAATGAACAGGCAGTATGAATTTATCATTTGGTTCCTAGTGGGTTGATGCGGATGGTGAGCAAAGGGGGTGTGGCAGTGAGAGACCTCATGGGGATGAGTGTAGCAATGAGGAGGCATTTCAAGTGTGACAGTTCTGATGGTTCTGGTGGGGTGACAAGTGGGTTGTTTCTGGGGAGGGAAGTCTTTCAGGAAGTGTTTCTTATATGCAGAGAGCATATGATCCACATGTTTTAGGTGTGTTTCCTTTTGCCATGAGTTTTTGGAGGATGGGTAGCCTTTCCACTTGATTAAGAAGGCATGTCTGTGGCCAGATCTCTTATGGCCAACTATTGCATTGACTTTGTATTCTCCCTCCTTGTTGGTGAGGTCAGGTGGTGGAGCTGGGAAGTTCAATCCATGAATGTCATTTTTGTGATAGGGTGATAAGAGGGAAGCATGGACCACAAGGTGATATGTTATTGGAGATAGGACATCAGAGATGATGAAGGGCCCTTGTTTCAGGGCAAGTTTTCTATTTCCATTGGAACACTTCAGGTTTTATGCATCTAGCCAAACTTTATCACCTTTCTGGAATGGGGTGAAGGGTCTGGAGGAGTGGTCTTTCATAGTTTTTGGGCTAGATTGTGGGCTGCAAGGGCTTCCTCTCCAGCCTTTTGGAGTTCCTCAAGTCTGGACTCAGTGGTGGGAAGGTGGGTTTCAGTGATTAGGGAGGGTAAGGGTTTCAGTTCATAGCCATACATGAGGTAGAATGGTGATTGGTGGGTTATGGAGTGGGGTCAGTGGTTGTGTACAAGTTCTGCAATTGGGAGGTTATCCACCCAGAGGGTGTGGTCATTCTGGCAAAAGGTGTGGTGATATGTTTCCACTTCTTGGTTAACATGTTCCATTTCCCCATCAGTCTGAGGGAGGTATGCCATGGGAGTATCCCAAGAGGGATGCA